GAAGCCCATCAGTGGTTTTTTAATCAAAGAAAATCTCTTTCATGGGATAGTATCTTTAACGGAAAAACAGAAACTTTCACAAATGAAATCATATATGTTGGCTTCTGCATCATTAAAAAAAAAAACCTAGGAAGTCTTGTATACCTTATTTTGGTTAGTATTTTTCCCTCTCACCCTCATATGTGAGGCACTCGGACAGGAAGCTATTTTAAAGGAAATTCCAACCCAAATTTGTACTTAGTTGGGGTTTAAAAGCAAAGAACCACCTACATATGTCAAGCTTGAAATAAAAGAGGATGAAATTCACTGTTTCTGCTAATTAATTTTGTTATTCTATGAAAATTTTACATGACTCTTGTGCTACGGAAATATAAACTTAGCTAACTAAAACGCTGAGCGAGAGAGAACTTGTTATCCTGTCCAGAACGGCGCTGGCTGCTTCAGTGTGGTCTACGGACAGCAGCATCTGGGTCACCAGGAACTTGTCAAAGTGCACATTCCTGGGTCCCACCCCAGACTTCCCGAATCTGAATGTGTACTTTTACAAGCTTTCTAGGTGGTTCTGACGGTCCCTTAAATACTGAGACTCAGTGATCTCGGGCAGTGGTCTTCAGACGTCCATTTCAGTCATGAGGACTGTCCACATGGAATAAAGAAGTTTGGAAGTCGAGTTAGTAGACGTGTGTAGTGCGTCTGGTTGATTGGTAAGTGTTGTGGCCCTGGTCGAAGTTCTCTTGGGTGCCCTTGGGTGGAGAGCCTTGTAACACCCCTGGTTCATCTGAGCTCAGTTTACAAATCAGTCATGGAGATCCAGCCCCTTTTTGACAAATGGGGCAACTGAGCGCTGAGAAGGGAAGGGATTTGGTTAAGCTTGATTTTGCAAATATCAAAATTTAGAAACTCTGGTGATATTGCAAATCCGAATTGAAAAACTCACTCTGAGACCAAGGCTTTTGTAGATCAAATAAATTAGTGCATGGACGCTAATCTTATAAAAGTAGTTACCAAAGGTTTTACTTAACGGTTATATTTGAAATAACTTTTAAAAGTGAGTTTTAAAATTTCAGGAACATGTATCATAAAATGAGGGACTCCAGGATACTGAATATTTTTAAATCAGAAGGAAAATTTGTTTTGTATGTTAAAATCTGTTGTGTTAGCTTAAAAAAGTGGGTAGAATACCTCTCCAGTTGATTGAAGATCTTTGAGTTGATATCTTTATTCATAATGCACCAAAATAGGTTATACAAGTGACCCAGCACCTAGCTTGGCTCAGATATGGTCTGGAATTCTTATTAGATGGGTTGAATGTATTCTACGCTGGGACTACTTACTTCAGTGTGGCTTGTGATTCCAGGTCACAAATGAAGATTTAAAAAGAGCTGTTACTGCTTCCTGGTAACTTGGTCTACTAAAATACTACTTATGGCTTCAGCGTAGTGAAGCCTATTCAGTTCTGTAAACATTAGCTGTTTGACATCTGTTTTGAACCCCTCGTGTGTGTTAGAATTATGTGTTCTCGAGGCATTGCAGCTGAGGGCGTAATGAATTGTGGATGAGAATCTCATGCTTCCAAAACGCTGGGATATGACTTGGTTTATTTACCCCAGTCAGGGTTTCTCTTTGCTTTTTGGGAAAAGGCAGCTTTGGGACTCGCATAGATTTTACTTTAAGCCATCAGGACTTCCCTGGACCTACCTGAGATACGGATCTCAGAGAGGCAAGCGCAGTGAGCCTGTTGGACTTGCTACTGTCTCACGTTGGCTTACTGCTAAAACCCCAAAATGAAAAGCGACAACTGCAACCTCGGATTTTCTCAGCACCTTCTCTGGTCCACCACCTTGGCCCTTCAACCTCCCAAAACACCATATTCGCATGGCTGGGTGTCTGCCCCTGGGCTCCCTTCTCTCCAGACCACACCTGGTCACCTTGCTTGGTCATCTGGGTGGCACATAGAATCTCAAGGAGCTGCAGCCTCAGTCCAGTCCAGTGCTGTTGAAGAGTCTGTTCACGCTCCCTTGTGATGTCTTTGTGGAAGCAGAGATCAGGATGAAATGATGGCGCTGTTAGGTGAAGTTCTAGTGGGTTGGCCAAAAAGTTCGTTCGGTTAATGAATACGTTGTTCAGTAAAGTTGGTGAAAGTGAAAAACGTCTTTTATTTTTACTTAAAACTGAACGAACTTTTTGGCCAACCCAAGACTTCAAGGAGTGAATAGTTGTCCTTGAAGAGTGATTGATGTCATCACGGAGAGGCACGATGAACGCAGAGATCCCCGGAGTCCCTGCATTCACAGTACCCTAGTGTCTTCCTCGTTGCTTTGTAAAGCCCCTAGCCCAGACGAAAACGGAACAGTTTCTAACTCTTGGGTAGGTAAAGTCAAACAGTTGAAGAAGGATTCTGTCCTAACCACTGAGCAGACGTTTGAAACAAGAATGCACCTAAATGCAAAGAGATGATACTTAATTCCTTTCATCCTTAAGCGACCATAACCATTTCCGATGGTAAGGTGGGGGGCACCTGTAGGGGCACTGTTCAGTTTCTCAAACCTTGACCTAAGCGTGGGTGCTGCCCTCCTCACTTCCTGTTCCACAGTGACCTTTCCTGGGGCATTTGCTTTGTATCCCAGCGTCCATGAACACTCAGCTTTGCAAAGCTAGATCATAAAGAGGGATGTAGTGTGAGCTAATGCTGAAACTGTGAGCTCTTTCCAGCTGGTGTTTTGTACCGCCCCACAGATGCTGTGCTTCCCTTGGACATTGGTAATTACCCCTTTGGGACGCACACACACGGTCTGGGAATCATGGGTCAGATGGCGTGCACTTCTCAGGTGTGTCCGTTTATTTTTTCCAATAATTGAGATTTGGGGTGAGGTAGGAGACATTTGTTTCACACCTGCTAGGTAACATATGGCTTCACATAGCTACATCACAACCATCTCATGAGGTGGGTGGTTATCATTTTCCCCATTTCATTGATGAAAGACAAGGACTCGTAGAATTATTTCCCTGTTTAAATCATTAGTAGGGGGCCCAGGAAAAGGTCCTGCTCAGCCATTTAAATTTGAATCCTCTGCTGTTTTCTCTGTACCACATTTGATCTCTGCTTCTATCGAGTTCAACAATGGGACGAGAAATCACATTTGTGTAGCAAATGAGAATTACCGGCTGCGTCTGCCAATAAGAAATTTACTTGGATCCAGGTAGCAGTTGCGTGCACTTGGAGGGAGCAGACAGAGCTTACACGCCTGTATGTTAACATTGTTTAATTGCTTTCACGTAGTCGACTGGAAGATCAGGGATAAACAATGAAAGCTTCCAGTAATTTCCTTTCAGGCTACATTAAAGTAGGTCTGTCATCTGCTACCAGAGAGATGGCGGTCTGCTCTGTTCTGCTCTCGGCTGTCTAGAAGACCCTCCATGAAGCTCTTTTTAAGTTCTGCAGCTTGCCTGTTAAATGACGGATGGAGGACCCAACTGAACCAACAGAAACCGGGCTTTAGGAGGAAAGAGGTGATGGGTGTCATCATACTTCAGCCTTGTTAGTATCTGGAAGAAGAGTTACATTTGTTCTGCTCTAACCCGAAGGACACGATTAGGACTTTTAACTATGCTTATCAACAACAAAAAAGCAATAATAATTTTCAGTGGTTGCAACTTCCCCAAGGAGGCAGTAAATTCCAACCCATCATTGAAAATACCTGTGAAAATGATACAAGCGAGAGTAGGTCACATGACGTGGCTCCTACAGCCCTTTCGACACTTAGATTCTGTTTTTCCAACTTGTTCATCCTCATTTCTTTGTAACGAGCAAAGGCTTCCAGAATACCTGTCTGCGAGTTCAGCTTGCTGTCTCACCAAACACATTTCCTTCCAGGGTTGGTAAAATTGAAGTTTTCTGTTGGAAACAGGTACTCCTGTGGGTTGGAGGCCATATGAAAGATGCTACTGAGAGAGTCTTTGAGGGTCCCTTCTAGCTTGTAAGCGCAGTCCACACTTAGGTGCGGAGGTCTGTCTCCGGGAAGCTCAGAATGGTCTTTTGCTGTGTGTGTGTGTGTGTGTGTGTGTGTGTGTGTGTGTGTGTGTGTGTGAGTGTGTGATTGATTTAGGGATTTACCTGTAAATTTCACAGATCAAACACCAGCTTACCAATTTAAAATGTAGAATAGGTCAGTCCTGATGCACTAGTGGTTTTATCATGTTGTTTTATTATCTGGTCTTACAGTCTGAACACACACTTTCTCATAATTAACGCTGCTGTGCTTTGGACCCCGTAGATTTATATTGGCTCTTCCTCCCAGGGGGTGCTTATGGAAAATAGCCCACCTTCGTTGATTCGCTGTGCAAACAACCCCTCTTAGGTACTGGCTACTTCACCTTCTCCTTTGGGGCCATGCTTGTGCGCAGTTCAGTTTTTATAGACCTGCTGCCCTGGGGACTGCCCTTCAAACGCTGCCTCTATCTCTGGGCTAGGGATGGAGGAGTCTGTCTTCTTTCCTCTCACACCAGTCCTCTTTCTGCACTTCTCAAGCCCTGCCAGTTTTCGTTCCCTTCTCTGAAAGCAGGTTTTATAGAAAATTCCCTTGCCAGCCCTGGGTTACGTATGACGGATGGCAAAGCCAAGCTGGGGTCTGTGCTAGTTTTCTGATTTATCGGGAAGATACATCCTAAGACCTGTGTAACCAGCTTAACTGCCCTGGTCATTCGGGAGGACACACGTGCCCAGGAGGAGTTTGCACGTACGGCTCCCGCTGAGCGGCGTGATTACCAACGGGCTGTGCTTGAAGTTAGTCTGAGTTGTGTATTTCATCTGTGAAGTTGGCAAATACTTGAAAGCCACAAGCTACTGTTTTCTGAAAGCTTCTTTGCACATGAGCCTAAAACGTCTGTATTGAATTTGGAAATTGTCCAGTAACTGCCCTTTTAATGCAGTGAAATGTAGATTACAGCTGTTTCCTCTGGAAAGACGCGTAGAGTCGTAACTCCTCTCTCTTCTCCTCCAGAGTGTCCCCCCTGCAGAAGTCGGAGATAGTGGATGTGGTGAAGAAGCGGGTGAAGGCCATCACCCTGGCCATCGGGGACGGTGCCAATGACGTCGGGATGATCCAGACGGCTCACGTGGGTGTGGGCATCAGTGGCAACGAGGGCATGCAGGCCACCAACAACTCGGATTACGCCATCGCACAGGTCAGTGGTGTGGTCGACCCGCCGTCCCATCTTGTCGACAGGGTCCGCTGGGCACGAAGGCCTGGCTGGTGCTTGACCTTCAGTGCAGCCCTAGACCTCTGCCACCCCTTTGGAAGCCGCATGGAGGAGAAACCACCAGTGTATTTGGGTTTCTCTGTTGCCTCGATCTTGTGCAGTTACGAGGCCCTGTCCTGCGGTTTGGGTTTCCTTTCCAGCTGTGGGACGGGCTGGGCTTTCTGTCGTCCAGGTGAGATGTCATTCCTGACAGATGGGTCTCAATGATTTTATAATAATAATCTCTTTCCCTCAACTCTGCATCTGCTGCATGTCCTTTTCTAATGCCATCCCGTGCCCAAGGATGGCTGTGCTCATAGCATCCGTTCTCTGCAATTCCTATACTGATCTCCCCTCTTCCAGAAGGTGCTGGAACCCTCTCTCAGCAGCTACTTAAGGTCAGGGGGAGTCAGGGATTCACCGCCGCTGCCCTCCGGGGCTGTGTCCAGGGCTCTCCAGGACCACTGCTGCCAGGTGAAGTGCCGGGAGCGTGAGCCCTGGGTTTGGGCGGCAGTTCCCCTGCGGTCAGCAGCACGTAGCCTCCAGCAGTTCGGCCACATCCAGCCCGTTCCTCTCTGGACCGTATGTTTCAGCAGAGACTCCTGACCTCTTTAGTAGTTCCTGTCCCGGCAGCCTGAGGCTGAAAGAAATGTCCACTCCACAATGACAGCCCAGAAGTGAAGGAAAATACCCAACCTCCTGACCCCTGGGGTGCATATCTAGACCGTTGATGCTGCTCGACCATCGTGGAGAGCACAGACTGTTTCCTCCTGTCTCTGGGTCACAGTGTGCTGGGATTAAATGCCTGCTCGTTGGCTATAGTTCCCTCGTATTTGTCCACTGTTCAGTCTTTTGAAGAATGTGTTAACCTAATCACGTGGACACAGTAATGATGGCTTTTTCCTCCTTCAAGCTGAGATATGGGGCTGCATCTTAAACATGGAGGAGCTTGCTTCAAGCTGGTCCTCTGCGGCTTTGGGAACTCCACCTCCCGGAGCGGGCCTGTGCCTTAGATCCCATCTCCAGTTCCCTCCCAGCTGGTGGTTGTGCAAACACTGGGAAGAACTGCAGGATCCTCATGGCTCCGAAAAGTGCATGAAATCAGCCTTGTTCCTTTGGGTTTTTTTTTTGTGGTACGCGGGCCTCTCACTGTTGTGGCCTCTCCCGTTGCGGAGCACAGGCTCCGGACGCGCAGGCTCAGCGGCCACGGCTCACGGGCCCAGCCGCTCCGCGGCACGTGGGATCCTCCCGGACCGGGACACGAACCCATGTCCCCTGCATCGGCAGGCGGACTCTCTGCCACTGCGCCACCAGGGAGGCCCCAGCCTTGTTCCTTTGTTGATTTCAAATAAATCCTCAAGATGACTGCTGAAGTCGGTAGGAAGAACGAATTCCGATTTTACAGGTGGGGAAACTAGGGCTCCTTCATAATAGGTGACCTGCCATGGGTCTCAGGCCCCAGGGTCAGAGAACAGCAGACCTGCACGTGACCTTGGGGAACCAGCCCTGCACACCTGCCCAGTTACTTTGCCGAGTCAACTGCTCCAAGGCCTGTGGGACTCATGCTTCCTGCAGCCTGTCAGCAACTATAGACGTTATACACCCCAGCATTATTAAATACTTGAGTTATAGCATCATCTGGCTGGCAGGGATCTTTAGAGATTTCCTAGGAGCTCCAGGCAAATATTTGTCTGTCTTTTTCTTTCAAATGTCTAGGGAAGGGAGATTCCATGACTTGCTTTATTGAAACTGTACTAATAGGATGTGGGATCTGGAGCAATTGGTCTTTTCGAATTATTAAAGGCCAATCAAAATTAAAAGCAAATCAAAATCAAGGGAGGGCGGAGAGGGGAGCAGGACTTTGTAACTCTAGTTAGGGGTTTTCTTGCCCATCCAGCGCAAGCCAGAGGAGGGGAGCTGACGGGTGGAGCTGACGGGAGGCCCCATATGGCCGCCATCCCTCCTGCCCGCCGTCCCGTTCACGCTTAGGCAGAGATCCCGTTATTTGGGGGCTGCGTTCTCCTTGCCCTACACCCTCTCCACCCGACAGTATGCTTCCTCCGCCTTAATTACTAGGTAGGAAATGCCGCAGTTTGCTGAATTCCTTTAGCTGAAGTTAATAAAACAATCAGTGTCTTTGGTTGGAGTTAACGCCTTGCCCTGGATCTGTTGATTTTCATGTGGACGAATACATTTTTGATTGGGTTTTCGAGAACGTGCCCTGGAGAGTCGCTCCAGAAGGGAAGAAGTTAGCTCAAAGACTTGTCCTTGGGAAAATGAGGAAGTCGGCAAAGCTCTGCTTCTATTTCTTCCCCACCGGCCCCTGCTTCTGTCCGCAGGAGTGGCTCTGGGACTGACGGCCGGCCCCGTCTTGCTGCTTTGCTGTGCGTGGGCCGCCCGTGTAGTGTTGAGTCTCCAGCCCTCGGCTGCCTGCTCTCCTCGGGAGAGAGTCATTTGTGCCCCCTGCCTTCTTAATGTTTTTTGAGAGACCTCATGAAAATAGCATTTCGATTTAGGATCTGTTTTTTGTTTTTTTTTTTTCCTGAAAAAAAGTCACTGTAGCGCCAAGCCAGCACCTTCGGGATGATTCCAGCAGATGTTCTCTGTACCCACTGAAGGCTGAACTCCAGGGGGTCCAGGTCAAATGCAAACTTCCTTTTTATTTGTTTCGCTAGTTATTTTATGATTCCCCGTTCCCCTCTGGAATCCTTGATGAGCCTTTATGGAGAGTTTTATTTTTCCATATGTACCTACTCCTCCCATTTTGGGGTCTCATTCAGCTTTTCGAGCAGCACGTAGGTGAGACATCTGCCTTCCCCGATCTGCAGAAACTCGCCGAGATGCGATTCACGTGGGACTGAGCCCCTCTTCTTAGCGCTAAAGCAAACTATTGCATGCCTTCCTCTTGAAAAAGTATTTTTAAAAAGATACTATATTTTCAGGCAGCCTTTCTTTTCTACAGATAGTTCAATATAATCTCAAAAGTCATCTGGAACGAATACGAAATTTACAATAGCACCAGGATTTCTAGTATCTGTGGATGTTCTCACTCCGACCTGGTTATCTCTCCTGGGAAAGAAAACAGAATTTGAGTTTGTGGACTTCCCTATGACTCAGAACAGGAGTTAAGGTTTTAGTTCAAGGCAACCAAGGAGGGATTCAGCACCAGGCCAGGCCAATTGAATATACTGTGAATTTAAGCAGGGCTGCACCCACAGACGGTGCGTACACGCCAGAGTACGCCCAGGCTACAGCCCAGAAAAACAACCCATTTCCCTCCCTCCGGCCCCTTGTCCACACTTTTGGGGACCTTTGTGAAAGAGGACAGAAAGAGCTAAGCCAGGCTAAGGGGAGGGGAGGCTGAGGAGATATGATTGGAGTGGTGACCCCCTGCCACAAGGAGGATTCAAGTATCTTATTGGAATATTGCTGAATATGTCACTGTGAGAGCTAAGCTGTCACATCGCTCTGAACTTAGTAGCAGCTGACTGTCGGTGTTTTGTTCGGATGGATGACTGCGTCGCACTCCAGCAAGAGGGGCCGTGTACTTGTCGGAGGCCACAAAAAGGGGAAGGACGTGGGTATAGAAGTGGAGGGCAGAGCGTGTGTCTGCGTCTGTGAGTCTCACTGTCTTTAACCTGCAGGCTGACAGCGGAGACAGGTAGCGCATGTATGTGCATCCCTTCTGTTTCCAAGGATACTGGTGCACGAGTGTCCCCGTCCCTTGTTCCTGTTGTCATCATAAAACCTGTGATTCAACGGAAGCATCTGATTCCCACTGCTCTTTTCTTCCAGTTCTGATGGGCCACCTTCTTTTAATAATTAAGATCCTGAAAAAGAAGTTGCATAAATAGATTTTCACAAGAATAGCCATTCGAAGTCCAGCTGTGTGTTTGGGGAAAAGAAAAATTCTGTAGATTTAAGAGGAGATTTTAGTCATTCTCACCTGGCCTGAAAGCTCTGCCTTTAGAGGGAATGATATTCTTGGGTTACCTGTAGAATCCGGTTTCCTCCACTCCCTGTCAGTCTCCTCCTCCAGAGGACGTTCTGTGATTCTCCTTCCCAAGTGATGGGCTCTCCTGGACCCTTTCTCTTTCCTTTTTCAGTTTTCCTACTTGGAGAAGCTCCTGCTGGTTCACGGCGCCTGGAGTTACAACCGGGTGACCAAGTGTATCCTGTACTGTTTCTACAAGAACGTGGTCCTGTACATCATCGAGGTGAGTAAGGCTGCTTCTTCCTTGAAGAGGACAGCCTTTAGGTAATTAGGTCATTTCAAGGAAGGATTTTGTTCAGGGATAAGTAAAAAGATACTCCCCTGATGTATCGAGACCTGTGACACACACAGCCTCTTTGAAACCGGGGACACCTTCCAGGTCCAGGTTCTCTGGATCAAAAGCCAGGAGTCCCGGGATGCCTTCTCCACACTGCACGCCCTCCTCCCTCTGCCCAGCGGACAGACGGACAGGGGAAGGCCCTCTTCTGCGTGTCCCTCCTGCCATCACTCACACCCTCCTCCCCCAGGTGGCCAGAGCCTCAGAGCAGCCGGTGGCTCCTTGCCTGGTGGGCACAGAGACATTCCTAGGCAACCCATCTGTTTTTATCTTGACTCGAATGAAAGGGTTTCTGGCTGGATGTCTCATGGAATCTGCAGGTTTCCTGAGCTTTCGTTTATTGCTTCGGGGATATTTAGATGCTGCCACTTCAGCAGGGAGGATGTGGGATTGAGTGGGAGGAAGCCAGGAATGTAATTAAAAATCTCTCAATGAACTCATTGGGTTGTCAGCCTGTTTTTCAAGATGCTGATTCCGTTGTAAGTGAAATAAATGTGCTGTCTGGGACTAGCAGGGTGGATGGGGCGGGCCGAGGGACAAGTGGAAAAGGCACTTCATGTTTGGTCCCGGGGGCACCACCAGCCACCTCGTTCCTCCTTTTGCTATAAAGGTGTGGCCGTCATGACTAAGAGATTTCCAGAAGTGTTTCCTAAAGAGGAAGCAGGCAGTCACTCTATGGGACAATAGAAGAGCAATGGTCATTGTGTGTGGTGCTAATATCTCCTTCTATTGTGGGTTATTTTGTGTCTGATTTCTCAACTCTTGGCAGAAATAATAACCGAGGCATATATCCACTTTTTCTGATGTGGTCCCTTAAATTCCTCAACTCAGATCATTGAACAAGTGGTTTGCTCATGGAACTGTGATTAACCATTTCTTTACCAAATTGTCTATTCCTTCCAGTTGAATATGCAGGTCAGACTTAGAGGTTCACATCACTCACTCTCTAACTAAACTCCTACCGAGTAATTTTCCCAAGTTGTGCAGGTTGTGCACTGCACAAGCCTGCCCAGCCAAAGTGGTCAGTAGGGCTGAAATATAGGAACACCTAGAAAAAGAGATGCATTTTTCTAATCTGCACAAAGGGCAGCCCGCTTGCCTTGTCTGCTCGTCTCGTGCTGCCGTGTTCACCTCAACCCACTCCGAGTAAGAACTTTGCGATGTTACACGTAATGGACTTTGTGGTGTCTGTCTTCTTCCTGTCCACATTTTGACAATTCGCTTTAGGCGCTTAAAGATGTTTGCCGCCACCCCCCATGGCATTTTTTGCGTCTGTGATAGGAGTCACTCCTGAGTGTCACTTGGGATCGTAGATAATTAGTGCTGTGGACTGAAGTGACGAGCATTGGAGTCCCCGTCCCACATAACAGCCCAACTTTCACAGGCATTTTCATCTCCTGGAGGTGCTGGCTTCAGAAGATTTCTCAATAATCTGGTTTTCCTCACAATCAGCACATTACAGATAGCCTAGACTTCTTATCAAGACATTCTCCGTGAAGCCCCAACCCTTGAGTTTTCCAGAGCTTCCTTGGGGGCCCTTCTTAGTCGTTTACACCTACTATCTTGCCTTTTTCCTTTTTTAAAAAAAACATCAAGGGGGCTGAGGCTGTGAGGAGTACAATTTCAGTCTGTCTGAAAAATGCTGTTTGGAACACTTTCAATTCTGAAAGTGCTGGGCGAGTTCCTTACATTAATATTTCAATTGTGGCCAAGCAACAGGGATTAAATGGTCTTTTCTAAACAGCCTTTTAAACATTCTTTACAGGATGAAAAATGAATGAATGAATGAATGAATGAATGAATAAAATGTCTCCACTGATCCATGCCCAATTTTCTCCTTAGTATTTCTGGGCAATCTTAATTTTATTTATTACTTATTTATTTGTTAGTTTATATTTTTGGGGGGGGGTGTTTCAATTTTGTTTTTTTTTTTAACATCTTTATTGCAGTATAATTGCTTTACAATGGTGTGTTAGTTTCTGCTTTATAACAAAGTGAATCAGCTATAGATACACATATATCCCCGTATCTCCTTCCTCTTGTGTCTCCCTCCCACCCTCCCTATCTGACCCCTCTAGGGGGTCACAAAGCACAGAGCTGATCTCCCTGTGCTATGCGACTGCTTCCCACTAGCTATCTATTTTACATTTCGTAGTGTATATATGTCCATGCCACTCTCTCACTTCGTCCCAGCTTACCCTTCCCCCTCCCCGTGTCCTCAAGTCCGTTCTCTACATCAGTGTCTTTATTCCTGTCCTGCCCCTAGGTTCTTAATAACCTTTTTTTTTTTTTTAGATTCCATGTATATGCGTTAGCATATGGTATTTGTTTTTCTCTTTCAAACTTACTTCACAATGTATGAAAGACTCTAGGTCCATCCACCTCACTACAAATAACACCATTTCGGGTTTTTATGGCTGAGTAATATTCCGTTGTATATATGTGCCACATCTTCTTTATCCATTCATCTGTTGATGGACACTTAGGTTGCTTCCATGTCCTGGCTATTGTACATAGAGCTGCAATGAACATTTTGGTACATGACTCTTTTTGAATTATGGTTTTCTCAGGGTATATGCCCAGTAGTGGCATTGCTGGGTCATATGGTAGTTCTATTTTTAGTTTTTTAAGGAACCTCCATACTGTTCTCCATAGTGGCTGTATCAATTTACATTCCCACCAACAGTGCAAGAGTGTTCCCTTTTCTCCACACCCTCTGCAGCATTGATTGCTTGTAGATTTTTTGATGATGGCCATTCTGACTGGTGTGAGATGATACCTCACTATAGTTTTGATTTGCATTCTCTAATGATAAGTGACGTTGAGCATCCTTTCATGTGTTTGTTGGCAATCTGTATATCTTCTTTGGAGAAATGTCTATTTAGGTCTTCTGCCCATTTTTGGGTTGGGTTGTTTGTTTTTTTGATATTGAGCTGCATGAGCTGCTTGTAAATTTTGGAGATTAATCCTTTGTCAGTTGCTTCATTTGCAAATATTTTCTCCCATTCTGAGGGTTGTCTTTTCATCTTGTTTATGGTTTCCTTTGCTGCACAAAAGCTTTTAAGTTTCATTAGGTCCCATTTGTTTATTTTTGTTCTTATTTCCATTTCTCTAGGAGGTGGGTCAAAAAGGATCTTGCTGTGATTTATGTCATAGAGTGTTCTGCCTATGTTTTCCTGTACGAGTTTTACAGTGTCTGGCCTTACATTTAGATCCTTAATCCATTTTGAGTTTTTTTTTGTATATGGTTAGGGAGCGTTCTGATTTCATTTTTTACATGTAGCTGTCCAGTTTTCCCAGCACCACTTATTGAAGAGGCTGTCTTTTCTCCATTGTATATTCTTGCCTCCTTTATCAAAAATAAGGTGACCATATGTGCTTGGGTTTATCTCTGGGCTTTCTATCCTGTTCCATTGATCTATATTTCTGTTTTTGTGCCAGTACCATACTCTCTTGATTACTGTAGCTTTGTAGTATAGTCTGAAGTCAGGGAACCTGATTCCTTCAGCTCCGTTTTTCTTTCTCCAGATTGCTTTGGCTATTCGGGGTCTTTTGTGTTTCCATACAAATTGTGAAATTTTTTGTTCTAGTTCTGTGAAAAATGCCATTGGTAGTTTGATAGGGATTGCATTAAATCTGTAGATTGCTTATGGTAGTATAGTCATTTTCACCATGTTGATTCTTCCAATCCAAATACATGGTATATCTCTCCATCTGTTTGTATCATCTTTAATTTCTTTCATCAGTGTCTTATAGTTTTCTGCATACAGGTCTTTTGTCTCCTTAGGTAGGTGTGTTCCTAGGTATTTTATTCTTTTTGTTGCAGTGGTAAATGGGAGTGTTTCCTTAATTTCTCTTTCAGATTTTTCATCGTTAACATATACGAATGCAAGAGATTTCTGTGTATTAATTTTGTGTCCTACAACTTCACCAAATTCATTGATTAGCTCTAGTAGTTTTCTGTTAGAGTCTTTAGGATTCTCTATGTATAGTATCATGTCCTCTGCAAACAGTGACACCTTTACTTCTTCTTTTCCAATTTGTATTCCTTTTATTTCTTTTTCTTCTCTGATTGCTGTGGCTAAAACTTCCAAAACTATGTTGAATAATAGTGGTGAGAGTGGGCAGCCTTGTCTTGTTCCTGATCTTAGTGGACATGGTTTTGGTTTTTCAACATTGAGAATGATGTTGGCTGTGTGTTTGTCATATATGGCCTTTATTATATTGAGGTAAGTTCCCTCTACGCCTACTTTCTGGAGGGTTTTTATCATAAAGGTGTTGAATTTTGTTGAAAGCTTTTTCTGCATCTATTGAGATGATTATATGGTTTTTATCCTTCAGTTTGTTAATATGGTGTATCACACTGATTGATTTGCATATATTGAAGAATCCTTGCATTCCTGGGATAAACCCCAGTTGATCATGGTGTATGATCCTTTTAATGTGCTGTTGGATTCTGTTAGCTAGTATGTTGTTGAGGATTTTTGCATGTATGTTCATCAGTGATACTGGCCTATAGTTTTCTTTCTTTGTGACATCTTTGTCTGGTTTTGGTATCAGGGTGATGGTGGCCTCGTAGAATGAGTTTGGGAGTGTTCCTCCCTCTGCTATATTTTGGAAGAGTTTGACAAGGATAGATGTTAGCTCTTCTCTAAATGTTTGATAGAATTTGCCAGTGAAGCCATCTGGTCCTCGGCATTTGTTTGCTGGACTATTTTTAACCACAGTTGCAATTTCAGTGCTTGTGATTGGTCTGTTTATATTTTCTCTTTCTCCTGGTTCAGTCTCAGAAAGTTGTGCTTTTCTAAGAATTTGTCCATTTCTTCCAGGTTGTCCACTTTATTGGCATAGAGTTGCTTGTAGTAATCTCTCATGATCCTTTGTAT